AAATAGTTAATACGAACAATTGAACTATGTGATATATAATTTTTAAATACAAAAACAAAGTGCACTATATATCTACCTTCACTTTCAACCAATCCAAACGAGGTTCGTGGTGACAGCATCTTGCCAACTTCTACCCACTGTTGCCTCTCAGGAGAGTAACACTCAATAGTTTGTCCAATTTCAGTCCCTATACATCCACCAAACACATAAATTGCACCATTAAATATGCATGAGCAGTGCCCACTGCGCGGAACTGTCATTTCCTCTTTCATAACCCAATGCCCTTCCAACGGATCAAATGCTTCCACACTGTCAAACAACAGCAAATCATCTTCACCACCAATGGCATAAATAACTCCATCCAGTGTTTCTATTGTGTGTGAACTACGTCCCTGATTTAGCTTTGGCATAGACGTCCAAATATGGTTAAAAGAATCAAGACGATCAACGTTATCCAGCGTCTGATTATTACTCCAGCAACCACCTGGTTCACGGTTATAACCACCAATCACATACAGGTATTTTCGAGCATTCAATCTTGGTTTCATTTTTAAGTTAGACGGTCGAATTGATGACTTTTTCAACTTGGATTTTCTTTTAGGATTGTATTCGGCTAACAATGCTCCTAAAGCTATGTTTACACTGAGGTTGTTACATTGTTTTTCAATGCATTCAAATAAATCGTCACTTGGAATAATAGGAAACCGTACAGGCTCCAAGATTTGAACCAGATACTTTTTCCTCTGCGTCACATCATGTAGAATCCATTTCAAGACCGCTTTGAATACTTGCAGTTCACTTTCAATTCGTAGATTCTCGCTGCTCAGCAATGCAAGAAGTTCACCGCAATCAAGTTCAAGGAACTCATCATGCTGGATGACTTGCAGGAAATGCATGTGCGTGTAAATTTCACATGCTGCGGACAATTCCATGCACGATAGTGCAGATGCAAATTTATGAATACCAAGACAGTTGGAGGGATGAAGCTGTGACCGCAAGAAATTGCAGCAGGCCTGGATGATTTGTGGGATCTGCAGCATATCGGCCGCTGACAACAGGTCTTGTACGTTTTCGGAAGTAATATCAATTTCACCTAGAAGAGAATATTTTGAGTGAAAAATGTATGCATTTTGAAATTAATAGTCACATATTTAGAGAATATGAATCACAATGACGAGTCTTACTTTTTGGAGTATGTTTTATATTAAGTTATCGAAAACTTATCAGTGGACCTACTGGTTTTGAAAGAATAAAATGTGAAAGAATTGTAAATTACAATTGTTTTCCCCTATGAATTAAAACGTTCTATTAAAAAATACATAAACTAAATTTGTAGTCGATTCTTTCAATCTAAAGTTCAAATTAATAATTCCCCATTACTGTAGCTATCTGTGATGAATAAGTTAATACATTTTCACTGATAATGAAGCTGATGTTTCCAAAACCCTTGACAAACTTGACAAATATTCATGTAAATATTCATACGAATCAACAGACATTTACTCTTTAACACAAAATTTATTGACAAAAATGATCGCCGTTTCGGATCCATCATGGAACCATTTTCAATATCAAATGATTTAAAAAACTTTGAACAGAAACACCAATGAGGTGACAGGAAGTACTTAATAAAATATTCACATACCTGTATAAATAAATTCTAGAAGATTGTTGAATATACCAGCATCAATTCCATGAAGCTCTACTTGTTTTGAAAATGACTCCGATAACCCACCACAGAACATCAGCTTGAAGTATTCGCTGCACGCTGACAAGATGACACAATGTGCAGTGAACATTTTGCTGCCAACCATGATAGTTGCATCACAAAAAGCCTTCTCAGATCGCAACGAGTACAGGTGTTTCAAGAGATCCTGGGCATGACCGACTGCGCTGTAGCTCAGGCACTGGTTAGGCTGAGGCGAGTTGCAATTTAGCTGCATTGTACTTGAGTTCAGGAGCTCTACTACGAAAAGAAATACAATGTGTAAATTATTTTTCAAGTAGAGTAGGAATTGAGTCACTGAATTCGATCCAACTCGGCCACAGTCAACTCGGCCACAAGTTAACTCGGCCACAAGTCAACTCGGCCACAAGTTAACTCGGCCACAAGTCAACTCGGCCACAAAAAGTTTGGCTACAGTCAACTCGGCCACAAGTCAACTCGGCTACAAGTCATCTCGTCCACAAATCAACTCGGCCACAAGTCAACTCGGGCACAAGTCATTTACTGGTACTACATTGTACTAATTGTTATTATTATTGCTGTTGTCATTGTTGTTATTATTATTGTTGTTTTTATTACCGTTAGTTTTAATATTAATTATTAGTCTTAGCATTAACAATATATATTATTCAAATTTTTGCTAATATTATTATTATTATTACATATATATATATAGTACATATATTTATAGTGCCATATAAATAATAAATAATTTTCGATTTTTTATTATTATTCATATTATTATTATTATTATTTATTAGTCTTAGTATTAAAATTTTAATAATAGTAATTTAAAAAGTTGTTGTTATTGGCATTTTATTAGTATTTTTCTCATATTATTATTATTATTAATATTATTGTTGTTGTTGTCACCTTTATTATCGATATTATTACCCTATTATTACTAAGTAGGCCTAGTATTATAAGTATTATTATTATTATTATTATTACTAATTAGCATTACTATTATTATAAAAATAAACATTATCTTTAAGTTATTATTGTATTATTGCTATTATCACCTTCAATATCGTTATTATCACTAATTAGTTATTAAAATTGATATTTAAATATTGTTATTATTACCATACTAGTATTATTACTATTTGTTAAATACTATTAATGTTGTTGTTGTTATTATCACATTTATTATCGTCATAATGACTAATTAGTATATTATTAATGTAAATATTACTAATTTATTGTCGTTATTGTTGTTTAATATTATTGTTGAAGTAGAATGCTGTGAGTAAACAGAAGACGAACACATTAATAAATAACTCTTTTTAATTCATAGGCAATAGCATT